CTCGTCGCTGAAACTGAAGTCGCGGGTACAAAGAGGGGTGGAACGAGGGAAAAACGAAAAGAATAGCTAGACGTTAACTTTCCTGCAGAATTGCAAACGAACCCAACGGAAGGGAAATGATAACTTCGTTAAATTCTTCGAGTCGCTGAAGGAACCTAGGTATACATAATTCACCTATCTCTCCCGTACGCTTTGCATCGTCCCTTCCGCTGTTTCTTCCGGAGCAAGGGAGAAAGTATATCCGGTCGGCAGGGACAATCCAGTCGCGAAACAAACGCTCGATCGGACGAGATTCTATGAAAATTCTTGGTCGAACGAACGGTTCCCGGGAGAAAAATCGCCAAGTCATCAAAGTTTCTTGGGAACGAAGAGAAGGAGAGGATGGCGAAGTTCGCGGCAGCGATGAATTTTAATTAAGGGACTCCGATTGTTACGGTGAAACGAATCGATCGAACGTTCTAATTAGTTGGATAATAAGAGGAGAGGTACTCTTTTCTTCTGTTAGGGACGATTCATCCGTGACGAGCACGAGTCTCTGGGCCGCATTTTCGCTCGACGGATTTCTAATTGCTGTAAGAAGGGCTCGGTTTAATATTAGGTGGAGGGGCCTTAGCTTTCGAGGCAACGACATTCCACTGGATAGGCTTGATGCTAATTGTAAAGTCAATTACGATATTCCAGTGAACCCCTTTGATATCACGGCGTGGAAGGGAACGTCGGTCCTTTTGTCATCCCCCCTCTCTGTCGCTCTCCTCGCGCCTCGTTTCGTAGACACCGGGATCGGAAAATTAAGTTACGCATGCTCGTGACAGGCGTCGTCCGTAGGAGAAATGCATGGACAATACGCGACCGCACTCAAAACTCTACGCGGCGCTCTCCAGTCCGGTGAAAATCCTGACAAAGAGTCCTGGTCCCCCGTCCCACCGCTCGTCCCTCTCTCGTAGTCCTTGTCATTTCGAAATGCGACGCAGATGAGAACGATGTTTGACGGCGAGAGAAAAGAAATTGAAAAATACGCTCAGGCTTCGGTGATGTTCAATGGCACTCTAACGTAATCCCATCGTTTCTATCGATTCCCGCGTGCAACTGACCGCTATTAATATATCAAGTATCGTGTGTACTCTTATCTGTTCTATCGAATTTGATTTATTAAAAAGAGCACTTATTTACGTGTAAAAATACAGGTAGCTAGAAACCAAACCGTTCCAATTATCGACTCAACGGAGAAAGCAATTCCAGTTTCATCGACAGACCCACAGTGCCTACCGATGCAAGTGTAATCTCGACGAGACCTAAATTTCAGCTCGAGTTCCATTGCAATCTTCCGAGATAGAAGCTTCGAATTTCGAACAACGCTCACCAAGAAGAAGATGGATGTTCAATTGAAAAAGAAGCATTCGTTAACGGCGTTTCTCGCCAGTAATCACGCATTCGATGACAATGGTATACATTTGAATGTGGCGAATCGAGGCACACGATCTGATAATGGACCGAAGCGTGAGACTGTGGTGTTTTACCGGTACGGGAAACGAGGGGTGTGGCGCGAATTTGACTCTCGTGCACCGGAAACGGAGGCGGTTTTTGCGCGGAGATCGACGGAGCCGCTATATAATCGCACGCTTGGTCGTTAGTAGCGGAGCCCGCGGCGACATTCAACCCTTGCCGCCGTGAAACCAAGCAGCCACGACCCTCGTTTCCCGCCACCACTAGGCCCCTTACCCCCTAACATCCTCTTTCCACGTCGAGCTCGTGAACCTACGGTTACCACCCCCGTGACACCTCATCGTCACACCAGACGCGCACGCGTTGCCCTATTCTTTTCTCGGCGTCACTCGCTGATATTTGGTTTTCTTTGATTCCACTGCGGCGTTCGCCTGTGATTAGGGAAAAGCTTCTCTCCGGGAACGACTTCGTTCCTCGTGTTTTTCACCCCCTTTCCTCTCTTCTCTTCTTCTTCTTCTTCTTCTTCTTCTGCACGCTTTCTCTCCTTCTTCGCCTCGTTCTACCGAGTACCATCCATCACACAACCCAACCATCGTCCGTCGCTGCCTTGATTTTTCCTCTTAATACTTTTTCATTTCTTCGCCGGTAGTACGGTTTTTGTGCGCCGATATTGCCGCGGCTCTAGTCGGAATTGCCGGCCACGTTTCTTAGAACAGGCCAAAGATTCTCAAGGAAGAAAGCCCTTGCGACGCGTCTGACATATCCGATTCACCTCCCCCCGCGCAAATTTCTACACAGGTAGATTTGAAAAGCAGATTTAACGATAAATCATATGGCGTGCAACGATGTGCTTGCCTGTTAAACGTACGAGAAAATCGTGCAATATCCTCGATACTCGAATATTTCCCCTGTAATTTGCGGAAATAAATACGCGAACTATCGCTTTGATATTTGTGCGAGCCCGCATCGCTTCCCAACTACAGACGAAAGCATAAAGGTGGAGTTTTTCGGTCCGTTAAAAGTCGACCCACGGTAAGGTCTACATCTACGCGCGCACCTCTGGTTTCCTGTACGCGAGGCTGGTGTTTTTAATTTTTTTGAGCACTAGTTTTCCTCTGTCGACTCTCTCGGCAACCATGTTTCGTGGCTCGGCCCCGCGATTTTCCAACTTTCGCACGCTCTCCTGTCGACGAAGCGGAGCGTTTGTTAACGCGTCGGTTATAATATCAAAGCACCCGGCGTGCATGCCTTTTCCATGTGCACCCGGTCTCTTTGACGGATTTTCTTTTGATTCGATACGGACTACGCTGTTGGTGTATCTACACTTTACCCCTTACCTTGACGAAACTCGTACCCGCGATCTCTTCGTTTCTAGCACGCGAAATCTTTTTACCTTGCGCTGCCTAGTAGTATTAGAAGACTGAACATCAGTGTGTCTTCAGTGGATCCACAAAGTACTCGTTTAAGGGTTCGTCGGTCTTTTCTAATTTAAATTCCACCCCTTTACCGTCACTGTTTCAACTTTTAATCGCAATATCAAAATTAGAATAATTTCGCGTGGCAAAAGCTTTGCTCTATGCTAATGTCAGATTCGAAATATTAAAATCGAATAGTTACGATATCCGTAAAACACCATAGTGTAGTCATTGTCAGGAGTGTTTTAGAAGTAGTTTCGCTTAATTGCAATTCGAACGGTAGTTTCATATGGTGGAAATTTCCAATCGACATAGCTCGTTGCTAATGTGAAATCTAAAACCGAATAGTGAGAAATTCGATGGTAGACAATCGTGAAATCATTATTAGAGGCGAACAATTTCGAGAATATACTTTAGATATTGCACAAAGAAGGATATAGGAAATGCATCGATGATTTCGGGGTAAAAATAAGAGTTTTGTTCGTTTCTGTACTCGTGGATATTTAAAAGCCTCCCTTTTATGTACCTAGTCGCATTGTACGCATTGTAGGAGAGGATGTACACTAGAGAAACCGAGATCGAATGTTCTCCCAATGGGTCACAGGGAATCTCCGCTTTCAGCACGAAGTGCTAGAGAAAGATTTGTTCTTCAGAGTTTCTCCCGTACCTGGGGGGCTTGCCGTAGGAAAAAAAGGGACGAGAAGTGACTTTTCGAAGGTTGCCATTAATTTGTAGAGGAACGAAAACTAAAGCCCGACTGCGTACGTAGCGAATACTCTTGTGGCAACAGAGCTTCCTGACGAAGTCAATTAAGCCCTTTTGTAACAAGAAACTCTGCCAGAAGTAGTAGCGAAGGTGACGAAAGACGAAGTGGTGGGTGTGTTCGTTAGAAGGGTCACGCATCCAGGGCACATTTACGCGAGCACGATTCAAAGCAGTGCACTTCTCTTCCCTGTAACTCGTATGCTATGGTAATTATCGTTCGGGAATCGATACCGACATCACTGCTTCGATTTCTCTAGATGCAAGAACTTCACAGCCGCGAAGAGGATCGGGACACCTGGAAATCCAACGTCAGTGCGTATGCTACATGCTCATCCGGAGACCTTTCGACAATTCATTCACTATATATACACAGGCAAGGTAAATAATATCACGAATAGATTCGGAATTTATTGTGGTGTTTGGCACGTGAAAGAATCTACCGAGAAAACTTTCGCTTTGACCCAAAGTCATGGCTGAGTTTCATTCGTAACTGTTCCGTAGATTATGCTTCAGGACAGTGGCATCTTCGAGATGTTGGGACTTGCTCAAGAACTAGGAGTCGAGGAACTATGGAGAAGTTGCGAGGAACACGTCTCCGCTACGCTTAGTCCAGGAAACGCGTGTGCTCTTTTGACTGCCGCTCTCGATGCCCAGGAGCGTGTTCCCGGTAAGTTATTCATGGCATACTGTTAAAAGTTTGCCTACCGATCGATCTGCATTCTCAAGTTTGCTGAATGTTTCATCTGATGGAAAATGAAACGGCAATTCAAACTTGCAATGGTTGGTAAGTGTGTGTTTCTTCTTGAAAGTGGAAAATGAAAAATGTCTAATTGAAATATAAAACAATTTCTTAGTAACTGAGAATTTGCGGAATATAATTAGTAATATTAGGATGTTTGTGTATATATTTGTTTCTTATGTGATATTTGATGACTATAATGAACGTGTGTATGTATGTGTGCAAGTGGCTTAAATTATGATATTATTCTATACACTGGATAAGAAAAATAATTAAATCGAATATGTAAATATCTTGAATCTAAAAAATTACAGTATGTATGGTAATTGTATTACACGACTAGTTATCGACCGTGCTTTTCGTTGTGTAACTGACATGCTCGTCACGAAGGCAGCACTATATACGGGATTTTACGAACTCAGTGATACCAACGCTTATAACGATAGAGTTTACTTTATCTCTATGTTTCATTTTCCCTAAACGTATTAAACGTTACAAATGTAAATTTGTTAAGCCTTCCAAATCTGCCAGATTTAGAATTTCGTAATCGAATTTCTTGAACCGAAATTTAACCGATATGATTAAATTTTAAAACGCATTTTAAGCAAGCGAAAGAAATAGGGAAAAATGAGAACGAACAGTTGGTACAACCACGACGCCACATTTTCCGGCGTCTGGCTATTACCAAGCACGCGTTTATCAAACGTTGCTTACTAATTTTTGAAATCACAACACAAAAATGTCGTACAAAGGACCACAAAAAGTTCAAAAGGTGATGGTACAGCCCATCAACCTTATATTTCGGTACCTGCAAAATCGTTCGCGCGTGCAAGTATGGTTATTCGAAAACATCAACCTACGAATCGAAGGTCACATCGTTGGATTCGACGAATATATGAATTTAGTACTGGACGATGCTGAGGAATATAATCTGAAGACGAAGGCCAGAAAACCACTTGGACGAATTATGTTGAAAGGCGACAATATAACATTAATACAAAATACAAATCCAGGGGCAAATTAAATTGTTCAACTATAACCTCAAGTTATGACCCAGGACAAACAAGACATATTACCTTATAACTTGTGCAATTACGCACACTGGAAGTGACTTAAAAGGGTTTAATGAAGATGGAGTTAACATTTTGCAAGTTGTACAAGTTGTGATGCATCTCTCGATATAGTTAAGAAGAACAATGATTAACTGATAGTTACAAGTTGTAACTAAAAATACTATCGGGTTAAAGTGACGGTATTGCTTTCTGTTGTGCAACGTATTTGTTATTGTAATCTTGTAATAGAATTATTTTTCAAATAACTGAATGAAAAAACTATGCAATATAAGTCCCACTTGTGTAGATACCATCAAACTGTATCAGATCTTGTATCTCAGTTCATTTCTAACTTTAAGAAGAATTTCGGATGTAAATTTTATACGATTGAGTAATTGCTGTAACAGATATGAATTAGATAAATATTTAATAAATATTTTTGATTCTAGGTTTGTGTTTTATTTATGTTTATGCTTTTGCCAAAGTCCTAGCTGAATAGTTATTCTAACTGATAAAAATATAATTTAGAAGTCGCAGAAGTTAAGTATTATTATTTAGATTATATTTTAATATCACTATCGATCTAAGATAAGTTGTTAACAAAGATCTTTCGTTATCATAGGTGGTAAAGGAGCTTGTTCCTCCTTCATCGAAAGATGTTTCGCTTTCATTGGAGAAAATGCTGTAGACACAGTGAAAACAACGGCGTTTTGTAATCTTCCAAAGGATGCACTGGTGAAACTTATCTCTTCGGACTATCTAGGATTGGAGGAAGAAGACGTTTGGAGAGCTGTACTGAACTGGGCAAAATATCAGGTTCTTTTTCTTTGAACATTCTATTCCGTTTCCGAGTACTTTGAATCCGTTGAAAATTCCAAGAAGACTTAACGCTCTGATCATGCGTATGTCGTGCAAGGTCTTAGACCTTGTGTCGTATACGATTATTACCGGGTCCTTGGGTCCTTAGGTTCTTGGATCGGAATTTAGAATTACGAGTTAAGGAACGCTTAACCGTACGGACCACGCTCCTAGGCAGGGGTGACGCAGCCTACTCAACACTGGACAGAGGAGGAACGTGTGAGGGTTTGCCAACATTTATCAGGAGTGATAAATCATGTTCGCCTGCTGCTAATCGACAGCCAGGTCTTTGCCGAGGAAGTAGAGCCAACAGGAGCAGTGCCTATAGAGCTTTCCTTGGAGAGGTACGAATTTTTCAATCCCGATCGATCAAGTGGCTCAAAACCCATAAGGTATGGTTTGCCGGGAAATTTTCTTATTCTTGGAGGCTTTCGATTTTTACGTTTTGTTTTAGATATAGGTATGCAGCCCTACCAAACAAGTACGCGGAAATCTGTACAGATAAGAGGTTACAACCAAGAGTAAGTCCATTCCTATTTCCTGGGTCGCAAATTCTGTCGCGAGATAAGGTGGGTTTCCAGCGTCTCCTCAATCAGTGGTATGGATCACCAAAGCAAAGTTGGCGTTTGGTATATCGGTATGTATCGAGGAAAATGTAAATATTGGAAGCATATCGAGATCAACACGATCTTAATTACGAACGCGTTTCAGTGCCTCCAATCATGATTACTCTGCAACAGCGTTCCACCGACATTGTGACGGGGTTTGTCCAACATACGTAATTGCGTTGGTAAGTAATTTACACCTGTCAAATGAATAGTTATCTATAACTAACAAAGAATGATGTAATTTTCTAGGGAACTCGAGGAGAAATTTGTGGTGGCTTTAGCGACGCACCATGGGGTAAAACGAATGCTAAAGGGCACTACATCTCTTCAGAAAAAGCTTTCTTATTTACTCTGACCAATAACCAAGATGTTCCTCCAACGAAATACGACATTGTAAAGAAGCCTTTTGCAATTTGTTATCATCCGGAGTAAATATTATTTAACTAAGTATAACAAGATATGTTTAAACACATCGAAATGTATCCTAATGATTAAACTGACTCAAATACTTTTATAGCATCGGACCAATTTTCGGAGCAGGAGCTGATTTACTAATTTCTAGTAACTGCAACGTGAACAAGGAAAGCTATAGTAATCTTCCCCATAGCTACGATGGAGAACACGCCTCTAACACTGTACTTATGGGAGACTACCATTTTTTTGTAGTAGATTACGAAGTCTTCACCCTCAGCCACCCAGCTCCCAAATCTACTCATTAACGATATAAATATTTTTCATTCCATGAGCTTGTACATATATGGTTGCATACTTTTTTTTAAGAATAGTAAATTTAGGTAACACCGTTAGTAAGTTGTTCAATTCATAAATGAGTAAATTTTGAATATGAACAGGGTATAATTTTACGAAAATAAAAATGTAACTTTTTACGCTATTCAAAATAAAGAATGAATTAAACTTACTTTCGGTTTTTTCAGTGTTAACGAATAGCCAACGAAAACCAATATTGGCACTACAATTAAAGACTCTAGCTCTCGATAGAATTAAAGTATGCCAAACAATGCTTTGTGGCCTGCATAATGAGTGTTTGATATGCTACGAACGCTACGGTGCATACACCGGTGCATAGCCCGATTCTCAAGAAACTCGTTAAACATCGCGTTAAATTGCCATGAAATGACTTCGAAATCTAATCTGTATTACAGTGGCGCGTTCGAAAGTAAACGTGAAATGTGAAAATCCACGGAAAAATGCGAACTACTGAGTATGCATTAGAGTAGAGTATCAAAGACGCCGGTGACACGGATGTATGGTCGATAAGTAAAATCGTACCGATTCTACTTATCCTTGGTTGAAATTTAAATTTCAGTTTACTGCAAAACTGTGTGACAATTCGAACCACGTACTCCAATTAAATACGCAAAACATGAAAATTTATTCACCACATGAGCATTAATTGCTACTTTCTCTTTAAATAATTAATTAGAATACTCACCTTTTCCCTCCATTTTTATGCTTATCCATTGCTCCAAAACTTATCCTAAATTTCATCCTCACAATAGTTGACAGGAAGATACAGTCGTTTCATACAACTACGCTTTGCTTGACACAGTTTGTAACAAAACTGACTACGAACACGCACTATTAAAAATTCACATCAAAGTTTATAACGCGATAAGATTAATGTTCCAACGAAGTAGATGCAATGCTACGTTTGCCACTAACTGAACAATTCAAACTGCACTTCGCTAGTCAATGCCTAGTCATATCGAATCTACAATATGCTTTAATCATTTACGAATAACAACTAATATAATTTTAAAAATTAAAAACTTCTATATAATAATAAGAATGATTATTTCACTTAAGAATTTTAATCGAAAAAATTACTTTATTTTCAGATTGATATATTTTGTACTTTCGCGTGACTAAGACGGTTAAGCGTCCACTTCGAATGTTCCATTTTTCATATCTCGGTTCTGTGTTCCTTCTTTTCCGATAGTTAGAAAAAGTGTAATGGCGCGAAACCTCGTTGTTGCATCTTTGTCTTATTATTTGTCAATTATATGTGGATACATACTGCTTTGTAGGTGAGTTACGTAATAATATAGAATATTGACTTTCCTCTACGCAGTTCGTGTAATATTTGCAGTTCTCGCAGAGGTATTGCGAAAATTCTGGTTGGTTCACGCACATGCGATTGTTTTTTATGTGCGAACTATACGGGCGCCTGTTGGATGCACGACATATCTCATAAAAATATATTCTATCGAAACTAACTCATTTGAATATGAATTTTTAATATCCTTCGCGATGGCCTCGTCAGTTGCGTGTTTTTGCACTTTCATACGTCCAAAATTTATGCCACAAATATGTTTGATAGCCACGTCGGAATGTTGCAAGTTTACACGGCCATGTTTTCTATCGATTAAATATTCCACAAGTCTTTATTCTTGGCATTGTCTTAATCGTTATCTTTAGAGTAAGTGTCTCTCCTGAAATGAACGAAATATCTCGAACGTTAATACTTCGGGGTATTAATATCTCGAAAAATTATTTTAACTACGTTTTATTCCTTTTTTTTATCCAAATTTGCAATTTTTTTAGGAATCACCAACTATTCATGGAGATGTAATTAAATGGCGCTGAGAAGCAATCGGAGATGTCGTCGTGTAATGTAAGTGAATTGAAAATAACATTCGATTAATTTCAAATTAATTATGTATTTTTAATCATTTTTTAGCTTTTTTGTTAACGTTATCATTTACATTTGTTTGTACCAAAATTCTGTAAAATAGCTTGCTCTATATTAACGCCTTAATTAACGCTCTATTAACTAGTTTAGCGCGGCAGTGAATGGTGCCTGTAACTCTAATAAATCGATAATTTTACTATTTATCTAATAATTATTACATTGTAAGTCGTCGTAGAGCCGTTTTAAAGAGTGTTCACTGATCAACAACGCTAAGTTAGTATCCTTCCAACAATATCGCTAAAAACGGGAGCATATTCTGATAAAAATTGTTCAATTCACCAACAGCCTTATACATTAACCTAGGTATTGGAACTCCACTGCTATGGTTTTTAAATGTAATTTGTATTTACAAATATGAGGGCCCAGGAATTCATAGATTTGTACTTTACTTGTGAAATAGCGTGGCTTTGTAAGTAACGTATACGTCGATAATTACATTAAGTACATTGTAATGTATTACATTTACCATTCATTTTCTTTTGACGAAAAATGATTTATATAATTATTTAAACTCGTAAAGTACATTGCTCAAATTAATTAGTGTTATTAGAATATGGTAACCAATACCTTTTGCAATGTGCAACGTGCATATAGTATTTGTTATTGTCATAGTAATCCTAATCATATTTCTCTAATTATTTCGAGCATTGTAATTGATCGATTAGTCGCTAATATCTACTAGCTATATACAAGTAAGTACCTACTGGCCCGGGTCCCGTTCACGCAAGTCCTAGTTACCTAACTATTATTTACACCTCCGTTCTCTGTTTATTTGCTACCTGAAATATTTCGATACAAATGGAATCATAGCGTGCCTGTGATAACGACATAAGTATCATTTAAACTAACTTTACCAGGCCCGGTCAAATGAGACCGGTTTCGGTCTTCTGTTCATCTAACTTTATGTAAATTCTTATATTAACAGAAATTGAAAAACAAGAAATAACAATGAATGTAAATACAATTTTAAATTAAACTTTGAAACCGGTCTCATTTGGCCGGTTCTGGTAAGGTTAGTGTTAAGTCAAGTACGGAAAATTGCATGTGTTCAGTATCGCAATATGATCAAGGATATTAACCATTAAAGGAAATACTGGCCATTTGTTGACTATTTTTATAATT